ATTAAGGGTGAGCTGGTATGTTATGGAAAAGTTTGTGACAAGCAATTCACAATTAAAGCAACAGACAGAGAGCAAGAGAGTGTTTGGATTACCCTCACAAGGGATGTTTAACATATGAGACATGGGGGTGGATAGGAATATTAACAGGTGGTAGAGGCAGCAGCTTAAAAGAATCAGGGAATTTGGACCTGGAAAAGAAGACAAATATAATGGAGTGGGAAATTTTTAGCTTCCCTGCAGTCCATTAAAAATCTCATCCTGTCATGAGAAAAGATGTTTTGATATTATGTAAAGCATAGATTTTAGAATCAAATAGGTTTAATTTGAAACCTGGCTCTGCATGGCTCTATGATATTGGGTAAGAAATGAATCTCTATATTGGCTTCAAATTCCTCACCTGTAAAATGGAAGTTATAATGATAACTGTATCTCTGTGATATCAGGAAAATTAAATCAGAGGATAAATTTAAAGAGTTGTTACCGAGTACATAGTAATCCCTATGTGAATGCTAAACTACTTTTATTACTAAAATTCAGATAAAAGTAAGTTAGCTAATAAATTTTTTATTTGCCTTGAAATATTTTATTTTTCTACCAAAAGTCCATCGACCTGATTCTTTAAAAAGACTTGGTTAGAGGGGTAGAAATGAGAAGACCTTTGGAGAAAGTTATTTTGCCCTGTCATCTTAAAGCAGTGCTTCTCTAATTCAATGTACTTATAAGGCACCTGAACAAGTTTTTAATAAGCCCATCTGATTTAGATGGCCTAGCATGGGGACCTGAGATTCTACATTTCTAACAAGCTCCCAGTGATATTAATGCTGCTGGTCCCTATACCACACTGAGTAGTAAGGCCATAGAATGCCTGAAAATGAGTAAAGGAAACATGGCAAGAAGTCAGACATGTAACGTGGATTTCAGGAAGGCAAATTTCAGAGGCAGCAGAACTCTTTCCTAGATCAAGCCCTAAGAAAAGATGGCTCAAATCCAAAACCAATGATACGAGATGTAGTTTTCAAAAAGAAATTCTGGGTCTATAATTTCAAACAATTCTGAAGGGGATTTCTATATAACCACAAGTATCAGTTTAAAAAAACAATTACATATACAGAAAAGGAAAGAAAGAACAGAAGAGAGGAGAGGTCTAAGCCTCTAAAAATCATATAAGTAAACAATGAATCCTAGGATTTATTGAGGTTTCAAAAGCCACCTAAAATAATTATTATTTTTATAATGAGAAAAACACAATGAAATAGGCCATCTATAAAAAATATTAACTTGTCAACAGATTATAGAAAGACCACCAAACTCCTCACTTTTTAGCTTGCTTCTAACCATGATCTATGCTTCAAAAGTAGAGAATTAAAATAGGTACAAAGGACAAGAAGCTAGTTAGTGGTGGGACTATTGTATTATAGCACACAATTTCACTAAGTGAGTTCAAATGTTTCTGTTTGAGTAGATTACATTTCATACTAATTAAAGATTGCTGAATAGAATCTTTGCGAAACCATGATGAACATAAAAGTTCTAGAAGATCCTAAGTGACCAAACATTGTCCTATTTGTTTTAATAGTGGTTTCCGTGAAGCATTGTCTAATAAAGATGATGCTAATCCTTGGCTGACTTTGAGACATATTTTTTACAAAGATAATTAATAAAGACAAAGTATTTTTTCCAATATTTTTCTTCTTTGTCCAATGGACTCCTATTCATCCTTAAAGAACCTATCCACATGTAACTAACTTGGAGTAATTTCTCATTCTCTTAGACAGAATTAGTTACATTCTCTGTGTTCTCATTAATCTTAATCAAGTTCTTACTTTACTTAAAACTTAACTATACTTAACATTGTATTTGGATTACTTATTTGCATGTCTGTTTTCCAACTTGACAGAGAATGGCTTATTTTTATCCCAAAAATCCTTATGTTCTGCACAGTACATGATATATAGCAGATGTTTACTAGAAGCTTCAAAATTGAAGTCCTCACACATAAAACATATACATCTAATTCAATCTTAGGCTGTGCACATAGAAATATCAATGTCTAGAACAAGGGAGATGTAAGTCCCAATACAAATTTGTATTACCCAATATCACAGAGCCATGCAGAGCCAGTCAATTTCCTTCACATAAAACCCAATTGGCTCAGCATAATATTCTCCAGTTCCATCCACGTCATTGTTATACAAGAATTTATTCTACTTTTTCAGGCATTGACCATATGAAAAACAAAAGATGAATGGGTTGATTGATTAAATATAACACTAGATATTTCAAGTTTACTAGGGATAAAATAATTAACAAATCTTAATTGGGCAATAAACTATACATTCCCATTAGGTTTTGTAGTCAGCAGGTATTTTGTTCACTATGAGAAAGATAATATTTTAGAAATTGTTTTTATCCCCTAACTTCTCGCAATGTTCAGTATTATGAATCTTTGTTTTTCCTTCCATAAGAATATGTGCCTTATGACAGCAAAGTCTCTATATGTTCACGGAGATACTCCCCTGTACCTAGAATAATACTTGACATATAATTAGTCCTCAGATGTTATTTGAAAACATGAATAAAAAGTGAACAAATTAACAAGGGTGGTGGAAGGACAGCTCATGAAAACCACTTTAAATTTACCAGATTTAACAAAAAAGGAACTTTTTAGAATAATGAAAATAAATCATTGTTTATCTGAATTTCAACTTTATCTGGCAACTCTACTTTTAGAAAAGAAAAAAGAAAAAAACGTAAGGGCAAAAGCATGTGAAATCATCAATATTTACCTAGGAAAAGGAAGAAATAAATTTTCTTCCAAGACTATACTGATAGATATAAGGAAACCACAATATACATGTTTAAAAAATACAACAAAACATAAAAAGAATCAAAAAAGACAAAGGCAAATCATCTTTAGAAACACAGTTTGGTTTTTAAAAATCTTGCTAGACTCTAAGAGATACTGTGACCTAGCCTATCCTGTGCGTATGTGGGTGTGTTTTGGGATAAACCCTAAAACAGCTTTTAAGAATTTCCTACACTTTGTCCTTCCCTACCTGAAGGTCATTACGAGAGAGTTGTTGCTAGGTTGCAAGCATGGCCTTACACTTAGGGTTTCAAACAGAATTATTACATTAAAAGTAAAATAAATATTGGGCGCCTGGGTGGCTCAGTTGGTTAAGCGACTGCCTTCAGCTCAGGTCATGATCCCGGAGTCCTGGGATCGAGTCCCACATCGGGCTCCCTGCTCTGCGGGGAGCCTGCTTCTCCCTCTCCCACTCCCCCTGCTTGTGTTCCCTCTCTCGCTGTGTCTCTCTCTGTCAAATAAATAAAATCTTAAAAAAAAAAAAAGTAAAATAAATATTAATTCACAATGTCAAAACATCAAACAGCATTCTTTTACTCACTGACACTGAGAACTATATAACTGACAATTTTCTAAATATCAAGCCAACCCCTCATCTCCTAGGCTGATGACTCTTACTGAATCTTTCAGGCTCAATTTAGTAATCAAAAAAGTAAGAAATACTTTTTGTTAAATTACAAGTCTCCCTAATAATATCATAAATTCCAAGAATATTAGGACCCATATCTGAATTGTATACCTGGAGGTTAGCATGGATCCTGGTATAAGTAGGTGCTCAATTGTTTATTGAATGAATCAAATTTTAGGACAAAATAAAACATAAATTAGAGTGTCACCATCTTTTCTATCTTTATTAGCTGATTTCTCATCAGTATGTTTTTCTGTTCTCTCACACCTTAATATTTATAATGATAAAATGACAACCCTGATGCCTCAGTTTCTTTATCTGTGAAATGAAAATAATAATGTACCTATCCCATGGTGTTGTTATAAAGATTAAATGAATTAATATATGAAAAGCATTTGGGACAGTGCCTAGCACATAATAAATGTTATGTATCATCATCATCATTATCAGTAGCTGTAGCAGCCTTATTTACGAGTGGGTCTTTTTCTAGTGAGAATTTCAGACTCTGGAGTTCTATGGTCCTCATAGGTACTCCTCTGGTTAGAAGTCTGGTCTCTGGCAGGATGGACTCCTCTTTGGTGTTTTAGAAGGAACATCACCCCTTGTGGAAGAACCTGGCCCAAAAATTTCCTTGAAAAGCATTGTCTCCCCTCTATGTTTGACTGTTCATCCTCCCTTACCAACCTGCTTCTTTAGAGTCCTCTCCTGAATGTTGATTAGCATAGTTTAACTGTGCTGCCTGGTCCCCCCCTTTTTTCCTTTCATCCTAAAACCTATTGTAAGGTCACTGTCTCAGCTGCTTTTAATCAGACTACATCAACTGAAAATAGAGAATGATTGTATAAACTGTCTTTTACAGTCCAGACCTGTTTGACACAGAATAGCATGTTTTATACTATGTTGACTATTTAACAGTTATATTAGAACTCCCTATTGTCTATTGCTTGAATAGACCCAAATTAACAGACCCAGATTAAATGTTTACTATATGTCATGGTTTGAAATATCTAGTATATTAAACTAGTTAATGTTCTTCTTGTATATACAATGTCTCTCAAGTTCTCTTGGACCAGTGTTATATTAATAAGTATAATTAACATAAAACTCTTCTTAGCAACATTAATCTGCAGTTGTTTTATGAAGTTGCTAAAATCGCCTTCCCCCCCATTGTCAAAATTGCCCTCCTCACCTTGCATAATGGTTAAAGATGTAAGACTTTTCTATTGGGCTTTCTTACTACAGAAACACAACTTCCTGATGAGTTCATATTCCAAATTTGCCAGAAACTGATGTCTGATTCTCTCCTTGCTAGCTCCTGGAATCCAGGGATGGTGACACACCCTCAATTGGCCAACTTCACTTAATTCACTTACCCTTTAATTTGTTTCACATAGAATTATCCTTGCAATGACTATTCAAAGATATATAAATAAATACATTAATAAATTATTTTTCAATGCTAATAAAATTTTCATTTTTACCAAAATATATAACTGCATCTCTTACCTCAGTGGCTCTCAACCTTGACTGGGCAGCATTTTCTGAATCCTTCCTAGGAAGTGAATGGAAATTTTATATTTTTTACATAAGTTTTATAAGACATTCTGATGTTCAGCCACAAGATTCTTCCCATTTCATACTAATTGAAAAATAATTCAACAAACTAGTAATATTATTGGCTTATTATACACTGAAAATAATAATTAAGATAATAAGAGTAAAGAATAGACCCGAAATCTAAATGATAAAAAGGAATATACCAGCTATATTCCTTTATATTCTAGCACATTATCTTACAATCGGGAACACCTTGTTCTTGGAAAGTCTTGGTCTCTGGTGAGAAATGGTAGAATGGTAATGGAAAACTGCCTGTGGTACTCTTCAAAATAGCCTCTACATGAATAACATTAGAGTTCTTTGCTCTTCAAATGCCTTTTCCTTTCTTTCTTTTTCTTTTTCTTTTTCTTTTTTTGGTGTAAGTATCCTACTTGATGTTGATGATAGGGGAAACCAATGTATAGTCACATTATGTAAATGAGATTCTTTGAGTTAATTATTAGTAATAATTTGCAATGTGATGAAAGGATATAAATTTGAATTTTAATACTTTTTTATTTATATACTTTCAAAATAATTTGCAGCTTAAAGGAAAATAGAATATATAACTGCATTTTAGAATCTTTTTTCTTAATCCCAAACATATTGTATACATTTTAAATAATACTAGACAGAACATATCATATCATGATGCTTCAATTATCCATTTTAATCTTAATAAAAATTCAGAGAATTTGCAAATCAATATTCAGCATGATTAAACAGGTTATATTCCCAAGTTGTTTTAGAGCCAAACTTTCAGAAATATCTTAGTAGGGGAAAATATTCTTTCTTGGACAGTTTGTACTCCCAGTTTAAGTAACTGTGACTTGGTCTCTGAGTCATATAATGTACATTAATAATATCTATGTACAATAATGAGAACTTAAAGTGGAATGTGGTCTGCTGATTCCTAATATCTATTCAACTATAAGTTATTAACTCAATTATTCAGGGGCCTATTTCCAGTTTATGAATTATTTATTTTCTTTGTTTTGAAAAAGTTATTATAGCTGTTAGGGCCAAGACAATATTAAAGCTCCAGAACTTGATGATAATGCTCATGAGATACTTAAGCATGCAAGGGAGGCACTGATTACAAAGGCAAATAACCTGTAATTGAATGAAGAGCCTTAACAAAATGCTTCAGAATTTCAAAGACTCATTCTATATGGATTACTGGACAATGGCATAAAATGAACTCTTCAAGAATCTCCATGTGGTTTTAGTTTGAAGTGAAATATAACAGATACGATTTTTATAAACATTAGATCTAGCATGGTTTGATATAACGAACTGTAGCCATAACTTTTATTTGATGCCATTAGCAAACCAAACCAAAGTTCTTGCCATTGTATGGGCTTGGCTGCCCTGCACCCATTAAATTCTAGGATGATTTAAGTTTTTCTAAAGAATATCATTTGCCCCTTCCCATGGATTAACATATGGATTTAACCCACTATACGATAGATGATTTTGAACTTGGCACCAAAATATAAAAATTTGAGAAATTCGGGAGACTCCAAAATGGTGGAGGAGTAGGAGACCTTAGTTTCATCTGGTCCCAGGAATTCAGCTAGATTGCTATCAAATCATCCTGAACACCTGCGAACTCAAGCAGAGATCTAAGAATTGCTGAAACTTTACAAATAGAAAAGCGACCACTTTCTGCAAGGTAGGAGGTGCAGAGAAGTGAATCTGAGGCGATATGTCAGAAGATGAACCGTGGGGGGAGGGAGTCTCTGTAAGCTGGCTACCAGCAAGTAATATAGCAGTGGAATACAAAATCATAACTTTAAAAGTCTGCTCCAGTGAGGGACATCCCTGCCTAAAAGGTGCTCAGGTGGCAAAGTGGAAGCAGAATCCTAAGTGGGACAGCGTAGTCCATAGATTCTCAGGGTCACAGGAAGACCGGGGGTGCCTGAGTGTGGCAGAGTTCCCAGGCATCAGAACAGGGAAGCCAGCTGCAATCAGGTAGCCCAGGAGTGGGCTCTCAGCTCAGGGTTGCCATATACCATGAACCCTAACATGGTTCAGCAATGGCTCTCTGAGCAAGGGCCCAATAATAGCCAGAACCGGGGCAAGAACCTCCCTTCCTCCCCTGGTAGGAATGGCTCAGGTGAGCACCACAGGAGTCTGCAGGGTTTGGAGACTCCAAACAGGGTCGCATACCTGAGACAGAAATGCTCAGGTCACAGGCTGGGTAAGCAGAGTGCTGCCGGAGACCAGGGAGATAGGAGTGATTAACTGCTTTACCCTGAGGGCACACTGAGGAGTGGGGCTCTGAGCTTTCAGCTCCAGGGCTGGAGATTAGGAGGCTGCCATTTTCATTCTTATCCTCTAGAGCAGCAGGGAAAGCCTTCAGGGAACAAAAGCCACACAGAGCAATCCAGAGCAGATTACTTAGCCCAGCTCCCTGGCAAGGGCAGTGCAATTCTGCCCAGGGCAAAGATACCTGAGAATCAGTGCAACAGACTCCTCCCCAAAAGGATCAGTAAGGACATCTGGCCAAGACCAAGTTTACTGAGAACACAGAACTGCAAAACTCCAGTGCTAGGGAAAAATAGTATATAGAATCCATGGTTTTTTCCCCCATGACTCTTTAGTCTTTCAATTTTAATTTTTTCTCTCTCTCCTTTTTCAACCAATTTCTTGTTTTATCAACTCTTTTTTAAAAATATTTTTCAATTTTCATCTTTACAGTTACATTCTATCCTTTCAATGCATTTAATTTTATTTTTGCACATATATAAGTTTTTCTTCCTTTACAATTTTGGGATCTAGTTTTCTAACAAACAGACCAAAATACATACAGGATCCAGTGTATTGCTCTGTTCTGTTCACTTGTCTGATTATTCTCTCTCTCTCTCTCTCTCTCTTTTTTTTTGGTTTTGGATCTCTTCTGATTTGTTTAGTGTATATTTCTCTGGGGTTGTTGTTGCCATTTTAGTATTTTGTTCTCTCATTCATCTATGCTTCTCTGGACAAAATGACAAGATGGAAAAAACCACCTCAAAAAAGAAAACAAGAGGCAGTAATGACTGCCAGAGACCTAATCAGTATGGATATAAATAAGATGTTGGACCTACAGTTCAAAATAACAATTATAAAGATACTAGCTGGGCTTGAAAAAAGCATAGAAGACACTAGAGAATCGCTTTCTGGAGAAATAAAAGAATTAAAAATCTAATCAAGTCAAAATAAAAAAGGCTATTAATGAGATGCACTAAAAAATGGAGGCTCTAACTGCTAGGATAAATGAGGCAGAAGAGAGAATTAGTGATATAGAAGACAAAATGATGGAGAATAAAGATGCTGATAAAAAGATAAACTACTGGATCATGATGGGAGAATTGAAGAGATAAGTGATACCATAAAGTGAAATAATATTAGAATGATTGGGATCCCAGAAGAAGAGGAAAAGAGGGTGGGGGCAGAAGGTATATTGGAGCAAATTATAGAGAGACTTTCCCTAATCTTGGGAAGGAAACAGGCATTCAAGTCCAGGAGACACAAAGAACCCCCTCAAAATCAATAAAATAGGTCAACACCTCAACATAAAATAGTGGAACTTGCAAATCTCAGAAACAAAGAGAAAATCCTAAAAGCAACTAGGGAAAAGAGATCTGTAACTTACAAGGGTAGAAACATTAGACTGGCAGCAGACCTATCCACAGAGACCGGGCAGGCCAGAAAGGATTGGCATGATATATTCAGGGTGCTAAATGAGAAAAATATGGAGCCAAGAATATTTTATCCAGCAAGGATGTCATTCAAAATAGAAGAGAAAAAAAGCTTCCAGGACAAACAGAAACTAAAAGAATTTGTGATTCTAAACCAGCCGTGCAAGAAATATTATGGGGGATCCTTTAAGTGAAGAGAGAGCCCAAAAATAACACAGAGCAGAAAGGAATAGAGACAACATAAAGAAACAGTGACTTTACAGGTAATGCAGTGGCACTAAGTTCATATCTTTCAATAGTTATTCTGAATGTAAATGAGCTAAATGCCCCAATCAAAAGGCACAGTGTATCAGATTGATTAAAAAAAAAAAAAAGCAAGACCCATCAATATGCTGTCTGCAAGAGACTCATTTTAGAGCCAAAGACAGTTCCAGATTGAAAGTGAGGGGGTGGAAAATCATTTATCATGCTAATGGACATCAAAAGAAAGCTGGGTGGCAATCCTTCTATCAGACGAATTAGATTTTAAACCAAAGACAGTAATAAGAGATGAGGAAGAACACTATATCATAATTAAAGGATCTATCCAAAACAAGATCTAACAATTGTAAATATTTATGCCCCTAACATGGGAGTTGCCAATTATATAAACCAATTAATAACAAAATTAAAGAAATACATTGATTATAATGCAATATTAGTAGGGGACTTTAATACCCCATGCACTGCAATGGACAGCTCATCTAAGCAGAAGATCAACAAGGAAATGAGGCCTTTGAATGACACACTGGACCAGATAGACTTCACAGATACATTCAGAGCATCCCATCCTAAAGCAACAGAATACACATTCTTTTTGAATGCACATGGAACATGCTCCAGAGTAGATCATATACTGGGTCACAAATCAGGTCTCAACCAGTACCAAAAGACTGGGATCATTCCCTGCATATTTTCAGACCACAACACTTTGAAACTTGAACTCAATCACAAGAGGAAATTTGGAAAGAACTCAAATACACGGAGGCTAAAGAGCATCCCACCAAAGAAAGAATGGGTCAACCAGGAAATTAAAGAAGAATTTAAAAATTCATGGAAACAAATGAAAATGAAAACCCAACTGTTCAAAACCTTTGGGATGCAGGAAAGGCAGTCCTAAGAGGAAAGTATATAGCAATATAAGTCTTTCTCAAGAAATAAGAAAGATCTCAAATACACAACCTAAACTCACACTTAAAGGAGCTGGAGAAAGAAGAGCAAATAAAGCAGCAGAAGAAGAGAATTAATAAAGATTAGGGTCAATGAAATAGAAACCGAAAGAATAGTAGAACAAATCAATGAAACCAGGAGCTGGTTCTTTGAAAGAATTAATAAGATTGATAAACCCCTGGCCAGACTTATCAAAAAGAAAAGAGAAAGGACCCAAATAAAATTATGAATGAAGGAGGAGA